TGATGATGATGATGGTGATGATGATGAGATGGTGATGGCGACGACGACGACGATGCCGCCGCCGCCGACGCCGCCGCCGACGACGATGACATGATGACGACGATGATGATGACGATGATTGTTATGATGGTAGTGGTGATAATGATGATACGTGTGGTGGGAATGCTTATGGCTGGTGATGGTGACGGTGGTGGCGGTGGTGAGATGATGCTGATTCTGATCATGATGATGGTGGTGGTGATAATGATGATGGTGTATATGATGTCTACGGTGCCGATAATGATGATGATGATGATGATGATGATGATGATGATGATGATGATGATGATCACGATGCTGACACTGATGATGGAGATGCGGATGATGATGACGATGGCGATGACGATGATGATGATGCTGATAATGATGACGATGATTACGATGATGGTGGTGATGAGGATGACGATGGTACTAATGCTGACGATGATGATGTCGAGGATGAGGATGAGGATGAGGATGACGATGATGACGATGACGATATTGATGGTGATGGTGATGGTGATGATGATGATGATGATGATGATGATGATGATGATGATGATGACGATGACGCTGACGCTGATGATGATGGCGATGATGATGATGATGCTGATGCTGCTGATGTTGATGATGGTGATGATGATGACGATTCTGATGATGATGCTGCTGATGATGGTGATGATGATGAGGCGGAGGGTGATGCTGATGATGATGAGGATGAGCATGATGATGTTGATGATGATGATGATGATGATGATGCTGATGCTGATGCTGATGCTGATGCTGATGCTGATGCTGCTGATGATGATGGTGACGATGATGATAATGAGGAGGAGGATAATGAGCTTTGAGAATGAGGTGGAGGAGGAGCTTTAGGATGCAGCAGGAGCTTTGAGGACTTGAATGAGGAGAGGGATCGAGGAGGAGGGCGAGGAGGGTGGAGGCGCCCACCCCCTTCTCCCTCTTGCGTCCAGAGAGAGGTGGCCGGAAGGGGAGGAGGAGAGGAGGAGGGGAGTCGGGGATGGAAGGGGGGAGTACAGTCAGATCCGGTTAGTATGTCGACCCTGCAATGTCGAGTTGTTCTCGTGCCCTGCCTGTCACGCTTCACGGCCTTCTTGATCTCCCGAGCATATGGTATATGGGCTGCCCGCAGAAGATGCCTGGGGCCCTCTCGGGCGTCCTTTTTGCAACCGGTCCCAACTGTGGGGCGAGATTTGGAGGTTAGGAGGAGGGCGGAGGAGGAGGAGGAGGAGGAGGCGGAGGAGGAGGGAGGAGGAGGAGGTGGAGGAGGAAGAGGAGGAGGAGAAGGGAGGAGAGAGGAGTGAGTGAGCGAGTGAGAGCAATCGCGATGCGATCCCGTGCCTCCGGGCCGTCCCTTGAGCTCCATACCGCAGGCGACGAATAAGAAGAGAGCGGAGACGACGCGACGCAATTGCATTGAGCTTGCCCCATTCTCCCACACTGTACGCCCGAAGCTGCTGACGGGAGCGCGGAAGAGGGAGGTTTGCGGAGCGTTGACGACGCGACGCGTAAGCATGTCTCTATCCATGTCCAACCTGAAGTACGCCAATACTGCAGGAAGCATCAGGAAGCAGGGTTTTGGTAGCCTGGGACGGACACCACCGCTGAAGCCCAGGAAGAAAACACAAACGTCATGTATCCGTGTGCAGTGAACTTGGAACCCAGCATACTCCAACCCATGTTCGAGAAGCCCTACCGGGAGCACACTGTGTTCACCCTATTGCCACGCCTTGGCAGGAACGAGCACCGACGACCACGCCCCGGCAGGGGAACAGTCCCGCATGCACCTGTTACAGAGCCACCATATACTCCCGCCCCAACAAAGCACAGCTCATGTTCTTCCACTGCTGTGCGTAGAAGACTATTAGGTTGAATGCTGAGGACTGGACCAACAGTATACGAGCGTCGCGGCACTCTGCGCGACTGAAGACAGTCTGTTCGATTGCACAACTTGCCTTCCTTCGTCGTCGGGAGGAGCAGCACGAAACATGTCTAGATACTCGCGCGGCGGACCCGAAGCCCCCCAAGCACCGCGAGGAGGCGAGGGCGGCCTGGGCGAGGCGAGCCAGGAACCTGAAGAAAATGGCAATGGGGCGCTGCCTGGGGCGATGCTTGAGCCAACATGGCTTGAGCTGAAATGGCTTCGGGAGGGAGGGGCGGGGGCACGGTCGACCAAGAGGGCATACCGTTTTGGGGGCCTGGACGACTATCCTCCATCCTCTCTTCCCTCAGCAGGGCGTTGCCCGCGCCGAGTGCTGAATGGATTTCGAGGGGCACCTCCTCCTCCTCCTCCTCGTCCTCGTCCTCCTCCTCCTCGTCCTCCTCCTCCTCCTCCTTCCCCTTCTCCTCCTCCTCCTCGTCCTCCTCCTCCTCGTCCTCCTCCTCGTCCTCCTTCCCCTCCTCCTCCTCCTGCTCCCCCTCCTCCTCGTCCTCCTTCCCCTCCTCCTCCTCCTGCTCCTCCTGCTCCTCCTCCTCCTCCTCCTCCTCGTCCTCCTTCCCCTTCTCCTCCTGCTCCTCCTCCTCCTCCTCGTCCTCCTCCTTCCCCTTCTCCTCCTCCTCCTCCTCCTCCTCCTCCTCCTCGTCCTCCTCCTTCCCCTTCTCCTCGTGCTCAGCTGCCACCCCTCCTCGTCACCTTCATCCCCTTTTTCTGCATTTCTCGGGATCCCTGGTCGCCGAGGCTGCGGCCTCCGAGGCTCCTGGGAACTCCAGCATGCGTGCGAGGTCCGAGGATTTCAGTGCGACAGGCCTGGCTGTTCAAATTGCTAGTTGTCCCCAATAAACGTTGACATTCAAATAGCTACTTTTCTAATGGAGGAGGCCTGAACATTCAATCGAAATTCCAATGAAACAGGCCTGAAGATTCAAA